AATCAGTGAGTCGTCGGCCGAGGAAGAAGCAGGAGAGACCGTGACTGGACGCATCTCGCTCGTGGAAGCCCCACTGTACCCTCCGGCACCATCGCCAGTCTCACCATCCGGTCGTTCTGCCATTTCTGGCCTGTACTTTGAACTTGACATTGACAGTGTTTGAAGTCGCTTGTAGGAAGTAATTAAGTAAATTTGCTTTTTTACAGTACAGCTTATATTCAAGTACCTAACACGCACACTGAGTACGTATGCAACACGAGATGCCTGAAGCGTCCCGCTGGCTTGAATGATGGTAACGTGTACCAACACTGCCTCTCATATGAATAGCAGTCGATCTGGGCCATCATGCATACAGTACTGGCTGACCGGGAACAAAGGTCAAAGGCACTAGCACATGATGCTGCCACGGGTTGCTTACCGCTATAGCTGCCAGTCACACGTTCTCTTTTGATATTTTGGACCACGTACAATACCGCAGTGGTGGTTTATGGGCGACATTATTCTTATTCAGGGTGAGTAAAAAAACAAACACCCGAAATCCAAATGAAAAATGGAAAATCAGTTTCAGCACTAGGCAGGACCAATTTTCGAAGAAGTTTTGCCAAATATCGGATATAAAAGCCCAAATAAGCTTTCTTTTAGTACAATAATCATTCAAATCACTCATCTGTACTACTGAACTTAGTTAGGGGATTTTAAACACAAACAACGTTTTAAAGACCTGTCCACGGATCACAAAAAAGTAAGTGTTCTTTCAGCAAAGCGAAATCAATTCACACACTAGCCCTATGTGAATTGTTTTCGTACGTCTTGCTGAAAGAACACTTACCTTTTTTTGTAATGACTGCAATAAATTTATAGCTGGTCAGCCTGGAGACCTGAAGCACGTGTTGTTGTGAGGACCTATGAGACAAGGTGATTGATTGCCAAAAAAGCAGTGCAGAAGTTTGTTACTAACCAACGGAGAGACACTTAAGCTGCTTTCAGCAGTTAAAAATCTGACCTCTTTTACCTTACCCGCAGTGGCATAAATCTGTGTCGACGAGTGGGTGGGATGGGGGATGACCAAAATCCAAAAATTGCCCGGTCGTAGAAATTCGAAAAGTGTGGGGGGGGGGGGACTTTGGGCTGGATTACACTAGGGGCGCTCTTCAGGATATAGATGTTTGTCAACATCACGAAAAAGTGTGTGTGTGTGTGTGTGGGGGGGGGGGGTGATTCAATAGCCAATCCCCTGGTCTAAAGGTGGGGGATATATACCCCATCCCCTCCCCCAGGATTTACGACCCTGCTTATCCGGTTCTTTAGTGTGACGTCAGTTAACGCAACTTGAGTGTTAAGCCAATGAGCGCTTGTAATGAGTGCATGCATGCTTATGTTCCCCAATACCGATGTTACCCAATACCGATATTTCCTGAAATCCCAACCCTATAACCCTAGCCCTAACCCTAACCCTAACCATAAGCCTAAGGATTTCGGGGAACATCGGTAGTGGGGAACATCACGGAGCTATAAAACATGGAACATCGGTATTGGGGAACCCCTTGTAATCGGTGGTGTTTGCGCGCATATGACCATCATGGAGAAATTAGGAACGCTCGAACCGGATATGACTTGTACTCTCACACGTATGTTTTCCGCCATTCACAAGAAACCAATGAGTCCGTATTTCAGTGTTCTCACGGGGGTGGGGGTGGGGGGGGGGGGGGGGCTGAACATATCCCTTTTGCCTGGTATCCGAGCTCATAATACATCAAGATTGCAACCTTCACGTGGTTCACCCTGTTTTCGCTAATGCAATCAAATTGATGTGTGCAACTGCTTAATCAACTTCACTAGTCTCTGAGTGAGCATTCTGGTGAGTTCCCCGATTATAGTGGGGCAGATAGGGAAGATATTTAGGGGAATTGTGCCAGTTTGATGATACAATATCATTGCATTTGGCACACAGTAAGAGCAAGGGCGGATCAAGAACACAATTTGGGGGGGGGGGCCAAAAAAAAATGTGGTCCCCCAAAAAAGTGGGTCAAAAATTTACGGCGTGGGGTTGGATTTCTGGAATCTAGATGCTCTGTGGTGCGATCTGAGGCAATTTCTGACCACCTTAACCAATGTTTTTTGAGGAAAAGATGGTGGTGTACTCATTGCCTGCCTTTATTTCGATGTCACATTAAAAAAAAATTGGTTTCGTGGTTTTTTTTTTTGGGGGGGGGCATGGCCCCCTTTGGCCCCCCCCCCCTCCCCTGGATCGGCCCTTGAGTAAGAGTATATCTTAGAATGATTTTGACTAGGATCCCTATAAGGCCATCGCAGATTTGTCCTTGGAAAAAAATATGGGCAGATGAATAACAAGCAATTTTCAAAGTTTTCGAAATGGCTGACATTGCTTGTTATTCTACCTATATTTCTTTAAAGGACAAATCTGCGATGGCCCTGTAGCCAAATATCTTTCTCATGCCATACTCTGACTGTGCCAAATGTCATGCTTGCATCGGCAAAGGCACAATCCCATCACCTATCTGCCGTACTGTTAGTGAATTCTTAGTCAGCGAGACTCTAATACATGAAGTAATATTGAGTTCCCCTTACTACTGTGTTTGCCGCCACATACAAACAAACTTCGTCCCAAACATTGTCAAAACCTCGAATACTTTCCGCCAACGCCGGCCGTCCTCCGATCCATCCTAGGCCTATAGACCTTCATCATGCTGCCACCATTTCAGTCATGTTCCCTGTATCCAATAACAGTACTAATTGATAATTTTTTTCTGCAAAAAGGAACCAGACTATTTTCCCTTCCAGCCTTGCTTTGGTTACGTTAATTTGAATGGAAAAAGTCACGATGGCTGCAACATGATAATGGTCTATATAGTGACCCCTTGCGCGGCCGGTGGGCGCCCTCAATGAGGACAGTAGTAAGCTGCGTTCGCATTAGAGTTTAATTTTGTTAAAGGTTACCGTGAGCGATTGGTAACATTCCATTGTGGTTTTTCTTCCATGCGTTCGTTTTGGATTAATTTGTGTCTGCGGAAAGTCTGAATCTTGCATGAACTTTACTTGTATACATGTACCGTACTCTTCGTTTAAAACAACTTCGGTTAAAACAATGTACTTCTTCCGCGACTCAGTTGGCCCTGTACAACCTTAACGCAAGCGACAGTTGACAATTTGGGAAGTTAACCAGCTGTGTGTACTGGATATTAATAAGATTAAGTTAACAATAGTCTCCGTAAGTTATATCAAAACAGTCCAATGTAACACAACGAAAATGTAACAACCGTATACATTCTGTAGAAAATAAATCATGCCTTCTACTTTCTAGTTGGAAAAATCAAAGGTTTTTAGTTTGAACCACTCTATAAAAAGTACATTATATACAATGGTATTCCTGCCTTCTTAGAAGTTTTTTATTCATACATGTTGAACCCTCAGAAGTAGAAATAAGAATGGAGCAACATTTGATATAAAAAATGCACATAAATGTTTACAATAATATTTGATTATTTTTACAAGGAAAATACGAGAATGAAATGAAATTTGGTACCAAGATAGTAACTGGCAAAACAATGCTACTTGACAGTACTTGAATAGGCCTACTTCACAATTCGTGTGTCTGATATAGACCGCTTGCAGACGCGTTCGATAATTGACGCGCTAAGGTGAGCGACGCCATGTTATGGGACAAAATGTGCGTGAATTGATATACGCCTGTCCCACAACATGGCGTCGCGCGCCTTCGCGCGTCGATTATCGATCGCGTCTGCAAGCGGTCTATTGGAGCTGAGATTTCACATAATTTTAACTACAGTGCTTTTCATATACAGTATGTGTCGTAATTCGGTCGTTCTTTTTCGCTAAGATTTATTGTTAGGCATGATATTTGGACCCTCAGAAACAAAAGGAAAAAGCGTCTTGCTGACCCCAAAAGTGTAATGTCTACTGTACAGAATGCTGAAAAAATAGAGGAAATAATAGTAAATGAAAAAAGACGGGAAAATAGAAAATCCTATGAAAAAAAGAAAAACTATATCCATGCCTGATAATTGAGACTATAACACGGGGACCACAAAATAAACTCATGAAGCACAATGACATGGATTTTAATGCTAACATTATACAAGTAAACGAAATAACACAACCAAAAAGTTATTAGAAAACCCTCCGCCCGATATCCTGCCCAGTTTACGGACAAAAATGGTTCGCTACAGGAACGCGGCTTTGGATCGTTAACATCTTCCAAAGTGATTACAAAGCAATCAATAACAACTTGAAGGTGTTTACAAATCAAAGATGTAGGCCTAAAATAACAAACTTTGTGATTTCATTATTCGAGTAGCCTTATATGAAAGAAACCCACAAAACCAAATTAAAATTGATATAATTATATTCATTACGATAAATCCAACTACATTCAATTACATGCCTCCGAATAAATAAGCATCTGTACTGATGACGTCACACTTTGTTTACTCGTGTGCTTTTCTATGGGGCTGCGAGAGTGTCGTCCCCATCACGCTCCCATAAAACAGCACACGTATAAACAAATTGTGACGTCATCAGTACAGAGGCTTATATTTAACACTTCACAACTTACTCTGAATATTCCTTGTAAAACGTCTGTAAACAAAACAAGTTTCATAAGAGAAATTAAGATTACACCTCAAGTGTTATATTAAGAAAAAAACGACAAATCCACGAATCCCAATATCATAAGTGCCAATTTGAAAGTGCTTTGAAAAAAAATACTTACATTTTACTGTTAACAAACCGTGAACACACAAATTATTTCACTGAATAAAACCCTATTATCAAATTAAAGCAGAATGATTATCTTTGAAAGAATATTATGATAAACTGTACCTTATACTGTGAAAGAAATCACACTTTTGAGTCCTTTAGGGCCCATGTTATGTAATTTACAATGCACCTTTGTGTCCCATTTAACCTTATTTTCAATTTTCGTTGTGCCATTTTTAAGGGTATTTTGGTGTCCTTTTTTCTGTCAATGCGAATTTTCTATTCATGACCACAAGTGTGATGTCATTAAAGGCAGAAACCTCAATGTTACAGCTTTTTTGCAGCTCCGTGAAAGTTGCTACGTGATTTTGGATATTTCGCTGGACATTTTCTTGTCTTAATTCGTTGTTGTGTCAATACATGACAGCTAATGAGCAACACTTTCTCACAAATATTTTCAATGGTCAAATTTTGGGTTCCGAACTTGAACAGAATTTACAGAAAACTTCCTGAAATGATATCACAGCAACAGCGCCCTCAGTTGTCCGGAAAAGCGTGGACATTTTTTTTTAAAAGAGCACGATTCAACAAAATTAATGAAAAATGGATGTCAAACAGTTTTCATACATTTAAGATGAGTTTAAAGCTGTACAAAATGTGTTCCTAAAAAAAATTACGTTTTTGCTTGCGTTTTTATATAGGTGCACTTGTCATAAAATACAAGATCAAGTTCACCACGCGTTTCATAGCCTCGATGATAAGTGTCATAGCCTTCGCTTACAAAAAGCTCCAAAAAGCCAAACTGGTGAGCGTATAGTTATCTCCAATACCAAATCCAATGTGTTTTTCTACCGTGCAGTTCATGTCTTGCGGACCATCTTTTCCTTGGCAATGAGTTCACGGAGAAAAGCTATGCAGCCAAGCTTGCCTTGCTGTGAACGGAAAAATGGATCAAAACATTAAAATACTTCAGAACAGCCAAACAACAAAGACAAAACAATTCATACGAACAGTCGTACTGAATAATGTACTTCAGTGTGATCCACACTTCCGCTCAGTTGCTAAGACAGGGGATACTTCTGAATATGAGCCCGGCCTTGACAAGGCTAAAAGCCACTCAAGGTATAATTTCTCAACTAAGAGAATGGTTCTGAAAAGAACCAGAGGTAAAGAACCATGCTCTTAGTTGAGAAATTATTCGCACATGGTGTTTCCGCAAACCTTTCATCATTTAGTATCTCCACCATGCAAAGCCTCAAATCTTACCACTCAAGGTACATAGCTACAAGAGAAATTAGAAGAAGAGTAGTACTCGGGAAGTTGAAGGTAGGAAGATAATTCCTCTTGAAACAGGACAAATCGGAGGTGAGAGGGAAACAAACATCAGGCAAGGAATTCAAAATGGATGCAACACGTGGAAAAAAGCTATTGGAACTTCTTCAATGACTCCACCAGTGAGTACTGTTCATACGCCAAAATAATTTTACAAAAACGAAAATATAATCTTCAGTTATTGAGATGCGTGGAATTTCATAAACATTTAACAAGAACACCTTTTTTTCTAAAGCTTCACACACAAAAAGAAAAGAAAAACCCACAAAACCCAAAACAGAAAAAAACCTAAAAGTAATTTTTACCTGAACCATGTAAATTTGGTCTTGTTCCTCCATGTCGAAGTCCAGAGTATCCAGGTAGCTGGTGTTAATGCCGATCGTACGTTGCACCACATCCTCTTTGTCCTGTACATGCAAAGTGATAGCTTTCATTAACAAGTTTATCGTAGACCACAATGGAAATTAAATTATTGTCGAAGAAGAACAATACCACAATATCTGTACACGTTTTGGTCATAAGTGCTATACCTAAAATGTATAGCAAATAGACAAAGTCGAAAGACCATACAAAATAGGGAATATGAATGCAGCGGAAAGCGTTTCTTTTAATCCTCAAAGATACTTGTGACCCTTTTGGAAATCAGGATTACCTTAATGTAGACTCTCTTCATATTGAGCAGCAAGCTGTTCAAAATGGTGCGGAAGTAGCTCCCCATACCAGTGATTTCCTGCCGGCTGTAGCCTCGCAAATAATCCATAATCTTCAAGCCTTTTTTCCACCCGAACGCTGTCAGTTCTTGTGCAGTTAACTTCCAGGAAAAATGAAACAAAATGTAAATTCATGTCTTTAAATTAAAGTCATATAGAATCATTTGCTTTTTCATGCATTTGGTTCGTTTTGAGTGACAACCATGGGCGTCGCCAGGATTTTTTCTCGAGGGGCAAAACATATTTTTCCCAAAACAATTCCTGTTTTTCTCAACATTTTCTCGATTTCTCAGTTTTAGAGGGGGGCAGAGACATTATGCCCCCCCCCCCAACTCTTTAAATTTACACCACTATGACTTCGAGCCTCTTTTTTTCTGGTTTCTTTTTTGTTTTTGTTTTTGTTTTGCTTTTCAAGGGGGGGGGGCAAGCGCCCCCTTGCCCCCCCCCCCCTCGCGACGCCCATGGTGACAACACCACTAAAAAATTCAAAGAAGAACGTTTAAAACATAATAATATAACCTGCTAACGTTTTAGCTCAGTGGATATTACACTTTTCGAGAAAATAGTGAACAACCATGCACAATCTTTGATCACGAAACACGATTTTGTCCACAACACTCTTTATTTCTAAAAATCAGGAGCATTAAAATTGCAAAGAAAAAAAAGTATGCAAGGGCGCGCCACAACAATACAACTATCGGTTTTAAGCACTGACGTCTTGGGCGAAGACTATGACCGTGCTTAAAGGTAGAGTCCATCATTTGCAGCAATCCGAAAAGTAACTGGCGTAATTATTGTTGAAAAACTAACTTGGTTGAAAGATAGTAAGGAGACTAAACTCCCTGTGAAATTATTCTTTCTGGGAAGCTGTCATTTTGAAGTAATCAACGAAAGAAGGCATTTCCAACGGTGATTCTTAAGAAGCACCGTAGGAAAATTTAAATTAGTAGTTCGTTTTGTTATTCAGCGCAGCGCGCACAAGTATTCGAACGACGCACACGCGCGCGCGGTTGTTATAATTCGTCGGATCAGTGCGCGACGTCGCGTATAGTTGCAATTCAAAACAATTCAAAACATGATTCAGCAACTTTTGATTTGAAATTGAGATCTTAGAATGCTGTTTTTCTCGGAATGTACAGCTGAAGCTTAGCTGAAACTTCATCAGGTTAGTTGCTCAGTATCCTTCATTAGATTTTGAACTCTTTTGTTGCTTCAAACGAACAAAATGCACAAATTACAAATGATGGACTCTACCTTTAACTTACGCTGTGCAATGCCTACGCGTATACGTAGCCGTACGATGCTGACGATAGCTTGTATGGGTGAAGCTTAAAGCTGAACGGGCTGTACATATTGCTTGCGGCGTTGAGCATTGCTGATTAAGTATACATTATAGCTTACACTGTTGTACAGTGCTTCTGTTGCTCATTGTTGACTTAATAGTGCAATGCTCGGTGCATTGCTTACCGTATTGTTGTGCATTGGTGTGCGCTGCTCACGTTGCTGCTGATGTGAGCAGTTGGATGTCTCCAAATTACAACTTACTCCAGTGACCCTGGCCATAAAATAGCCCAAATTAAGTCCAAATTATTACTGTAAATTTCTTAATTGCGGCGGTGAACATTGCTGATTTAGTAGTGCATAGCTGACATAGTGGTGCATTGCTTAATCTGTTGCTCATTACTGACTTAGTAGTGCAATGCTCGGTGCATTGCTTACCGTATTGTTGTGCATTACTGATACAACGCGCGTTGCTGCTGACGTGAGCAGTTGGCCATAAAACAGCACAAATTAAGTCCGATTATTACTGTGTATTTCTTAATTATTGTTAAAATCATTTTGTTATGCCGACATAAAGGGCCGACAATCCTGTTGTCAAGGTACATTTCGGCGGTATATTTCCTCCGAAACGAACCTGCTCCTGAGGTCGCTCGCATCTGATTGGTCCGACATGTCTGGGAAAAGCTTGGTTTGGAGATCAACGACACTTTAACTGGTGTCAGACTTGATCCCAACAAACTTAGGTTTGGCCCGGCGGGATCCGCGCCACACACGCATACATGCGAATCACAGCTTTAAAAAAGCGGTTGCGAGGTTAGAAAAAGGGGAGAGATTGTGAAGGGTAATTTACGTACAAACACAGTGTAAATCCCAGCATGCGCGTCACGGCACCACCAATTACGGGAATTTCCAGTAAAAAAAAAAACACGGGAAATGGATGATTTTACGGGTTTTGTTTAAGGTATGGGTGCATCTACTGAAAATACTGTCCGTAAACCGGACCGTCGAATTTATAGGATATAAAAACCAAAAAAAGTTGGGTTTTGCTGGCGAAAGAAATGAAGGTTCATATTCGTACTTTGCCACTTCGGTCGATATCCAGCTGTTTGAACAGTGTCTTGGAGTCACTGTAGTCATCTCCAAATAGCTGCTTCTTGTCTTCGGTTGTGAATTCCGAGTTTGGCTGTGTGGGAGAACATGAAGTGAACTATTACGTTCCCGCAGAAAAGCCAAACAACAAAAACATTATGTTGTCGATTTTTTGGGATTAGATTATGGATGCAGATCAATAATTTTCTTTAATTAACAAAATAACCCAGTCGATCTTCCTACATGAACAAAAATACATTATTGCCAAGAAGGCCATACCTTGTTCATGGCCTCCTCGAATTTCTGCTCACTGATAGGCCTGCAGTGGTCGATGTCGCTGTCCCCAAGTACCTTGCGAAACTTGGAAAACGATTCCATAAGTGTTCGACGCTCGGTCCTCTTTTTATTTATTTCCTCCATTGGCCCCTTCTGCTGGCTGTATACAATAAGATAATTATTTTATTCTTTGATTGGTCACTTTTGAAACTGTTTATCCATTTATTTGTCATGATGAGCAAAATGTGTCGATTTTTTTGTTCAGATTATGTATGCAGATCAAGAATTGTCTTTATTTTAACAAATTCACCCCCGTTTCCCCTGTAACATAATAATGCAATAATTTGTCACAAACGATATAATCACCAGGGTCAAACGTATAATCTATAACCAGGCTTTATTGAGGCAGGATTTGGGTGAAAAAGAGCGGAATCCGTTATCAAGTTTTGTTATATTATGCTTGTAAAACCTCGACTGTTTTTATAAAATGAACTATGAACGATGAATTCATATATTAGAAAAAAACTCTAAAACTCAACCAGTATGAATCTGTGATCTGATGGCAAATTCAAACATTGACCCGAGCTGCAGTAAGATTTTAACTTTAGTGTTTCTAAGTCTCGACAATTTTAGGTATACAACGTAAAACTGAAATCAGAATGACATCTTTAGAAACTTATTCTGCAGAGCTTGACTGCTATAAACCCAAGTGCCCATGTTCATATGAATTTTACATCGCATATAATGGGCCGTTGCAAAAGCTATTTTAGATTGGGTATTTACGTTTCATCTATGACGAGACAGAGCGTAATTATAGGTTTTCTCCGCCAATTTCCCAAAATGTTCATTCAACTTCTGAAAATCGGTCATTCATTTTCGTCTGAAATTGAGAATCGCTCTGAACACGCGTTTCATGTTTGCTACCACAGCATTCGATTCCATTTCAGTTCAATCAAATAAGTTATTGAGCAGCACCTTTCGTTTATGTCCGGTCGTATTCGTTTGCAAGACTTCTTGTTCGTTTTTAGAGGGCGATTTCAAACGGTCAGCATTCTATTTCACTTTTTATTTAATGCCATCGGCACCAGATACAATTAGGGGTTTCTTTTTTATCAACCGTCAATCAAATTAGCTGTACCTGAAGTTATTTTAGAAAAGGTATGCTTGTGTATAAACGTAATTGGCCGTCTGTTTCTCAAAACCGAATGCACGGACAATGAAAACGATTGAACTTTCGTTGAATCGAAATGGGATTAAAGACGTGCATTCATATTCAGACGAAGGAATGACCGATTTTGAAATGTGAATGTTCATTTAAGGAAATTGGCCGGGAAAACCTATATTATGCTTTGATATCTTCAGAGGCGTGGCCAACGGATGTGGTTGCGGGGGGGGGGGGGGAGAGTAAGGGGGGGGGTATTTACTTCCCCCTCCCAATATTTTTAAATACTTTCCTTTTCCATTCAAGTGCCCTTTTTCACCAGCGTTTAACCCCCCCCCCCCCCACACACACAATAATTTTAAAGAGTGCCCTTTTATTTTATTTAAACAAGTGCCCTTTGTTTTTCAAAACAAGTGCCCTTTACGAGCGGCCGTTTACGAGTGCTTTTGTTTGGAATTTCGCGTGTGTGCCGCCCTGAAGAGCGCCATCTATTGTCCAATAGTGTGCATGATTGTCACGTTTGAACATTTGCTTGCACTCCCGCCCTGCAAACACTTTACAGGGCGCTGGGAAGGACCGATGAGCTTCACAGAATCTTGTGAAGGAAGTGGGGATGGCATTCTGGGTAAATTATCGTGATTTATAAAGACATCCTGCAGCAGCTGCTGTTTAAGAGCGCGGTTAATGACCGCAAATGCTATCCGAAAATGTTCATGCATACATTCCATACCGGAGGTGATTTGTTTGCTATTATTGCGGACCATGTGGACAAAATAATTTGAGCGTCGCATACTGTACTGAGTATGCAATTTGACCACAGCTTCGAGAATTCGAAACGGTGCCGCGCCTCTGCGGCAAGTGACGGGAATTGAACATTTACAGAACTAATACCTTTTTTTTCAGATTCTCCTACATTGTTACGCTTTTCACGAAAAATAAGAATTTATGAATGGGAATAAATGTCTTTAACGGCCGTTTTAAACCTTGCAGGATAGTGACCGTGATGAGTTGCGGGTCACAGATCACGCAAAATCTATCTAATGAGAGCTTAAATTCATCAGCCCTTCCCAGAGTCCTGTTTGCAGGGCAGGGGTACGAAGTTTGAACAGTGCCCCCAATGGAAGATTGTACCAGTCCCCCCCCCCCCCCCACCCCACTATTTAATGAGGCAAAGTGTCCAGAGAAAAAAAAACTGTCTACATTTCTGCACGAATGCGCGAGTCCCCTTTTCAAATTTACCCCCCCCCCCCCACTCCTGATATCAATGACCTTGCTACCCCTCAGATCGTTTACAAAACTGAAAATAGACTTTATCATACTTGGCCAGACGGGTGTTAGGGAAGTTCGGCTTTTCAGACAGTTTGATATGATCATCAAAACGTTTCATCAGGTCGTCCTTCATAATCTCCCTCTCATCGTTGGCATACTGAATGAGATCACACAAACATTGAGGTAAGAACTAGTCAAAGTGGTCATAGATATTCAATTATTCATGATGAAGCCATTTTTGATCGTGTTCCCTAAATAAGCCAGTTCGGTATTATGGTGCACATCAAGATTCGACGATTCTTTTACTAGAGCGCTAACTCCTCTAGTCTGGTTCTCAGACCAAAACATTCTGACTACATGTATTCCTGATGAATCTTAGGTCAGGTCAACCTCGACCCCAGGGTGTCGAGCAGTACGCGCCCATCACTACCTGCTCTCTCACCCTGGTATTGGATCATTTGCATGTGCAAGATTTTTGAACACGTATGCAAATGAGGAATAGTCTGGTGCCTGCATGTGCGTTACATTATCGTTCGTTTTTGTATGCGGTGTCTGGGGTAAAAACAGAGTCAATTTGTCGCAGCGCGAGCACAGCGTGAGTTACGAAAACGCGATTTATTTAATTAAACTGTTACGATCTTATCGAGACAACATGCAGTATCACATTTCATATTAATATGAACAAATTGGAAAAGGAAAGGAATGTTTTTGAGAAGGCGTGGACGAATGATCGTGAAAACACGTAAAGAAAGTTTACTATCCAGGGTTTACTATTGGAAACACGGTTGGAAATAAAGTAAGCACTGGGGATGAGGTTGAGGTCAGGTAGCCTCCAGAAATACATTGTGTTACAATTTACGTCACGTGACTAAAATGGGAGGAATTCCTCCTTTTTTTCCGAAAATGTCCGAAGTTTGCCGAGTTCATTTCGTCGACTATCGGATAGCGCCCGAGTATTTCCGAGTCAGTGATATAGGTTTAATTAACTGCTAATTGCTGCTAATTGCTTATAAACTTTTTAAAATGAGTTGATAAAAAACCATTGCTTTCATTAAGAAAACTTGAAATTCAACTACGACTTTGTACATCAAGTATACTTGGATCGTAGGGGCGAACTTTTTGCAGCGTCATGTACTATCTTGAATTTGACGACCGTTACGGAGATAAATCTGTGCGATAAATCTCCGCCATTTTTTTGTCTCTCGTGGACGCGCAACAAGTTAACGTAAAGTAACGGAGCTAAATGTATCTTTCCTCCAGCACGTGACCTCGTTCAACGCGCGCGACGCGATGCGCACACGCATTAGCGATGATGGTGCACTGTGCGCGTAAACGGCGTTGCGTTTGTCACGTTTTTGTGCATTATTTGTATCTTTCCTCCAGCACGTGACCCTCCATGAAAGTCCGCGCGTGTGGACGCGCTGTCGAACTAGTCTTTTTATTCTATATCTATGTTTGAAGCCGTCCTGGGCGCAGACATTTTGAATTCATGTGCTTTTTTTTTTTAGAACATAATGAAATTAGATGGATTTAATTTTAAAAGTGTACTCTACATGCAACGCGCAAGTAGAACATACGCAAACAACTTAAGCGCGTCATGACAGTTCAAAAAAACGTCACGGCAAAAAGCGTCTGCAGCGATTCGCGCACGCGTTGCGCTGTTTGCGTAGAGCAAAATGACACGCTCATTTGCTGATAGTGCGTTTTGGTTTTGGGCGTATTGGCTTCGATAACGCACCGGTATGGAATACAAACGCAAATGATGCAAATAGACGTACAAAATACATACAAAATTTCTAACTTCATTTTCATCAGGCATCTCTTTGTACATCGAGTTCGCGCTCTAGTAATTTAATATAGCTCTATGGGATCAACGCGGTGCACACAAAGCTATGGGGGCCTTAGAAACCGAATTTGCATTCTGTGTTATTTTTCGTGCAATCGAAAAGAGATGGAGACTTTCGTTTACACAAAAGTTTGGACACACGAAACACCCAAAAGTACTTAACTTTCCAAGTTTTTTTTTGCAAAAAGTTACTTCAGAACACGACGCGTTCGATCTCTTCAATTGTGCTGGTACCCCGGTATATGCGTTTAGTCTATGTAATGGAAGTGTGACGTCATTAAGAACCATGGGGTACGTTCGAGCGTGTTACTCTTGCTACTCCCGATTGCAGGAAAATGTTGCGTGCACATTACTCTCGGTGCAGGAGTATACTCCCGGGGCGTTTTCGAATCCCTGTTCTTGACAACACTCGGGTTAACCCGACACGAGAACAGCGGTCTCGAACGTGACGAACAGACCCGAGAGGGCGTTCGCGGATCGATTTTTACTCCCCGGTTGATGGAGGGTTCGGCGAGGTGCAGCTTGAACAAAATGGCGGACTGTGCAGATTCGTAAGTTGTTTTGTGGTTTTTTTTTTTGCTAATACCCTAATGATTGGAATAAGAATACCATTATAGTGCAGGTCTGCAATTTCATCACCGCATGTCCGGTTTTGCAATAGTCATCCTCGTTCATTTGGAATAGGCCTAAGTACAAATTCAGATGATTGTCGGCCATTTTGCATTGCTTTATATCGATGCGACACACACCCGCGCGTTCGTAACAACCAGCTGAGAACACGTTCTCGTGTTACACGCGTGTTGTCAAGAACAGGGATTCGAAAACGCCCACGGTATGATGGAGAGTACATGTATACTCTTGCTGATCCGTGGGTCGTACCATTGATCTCCATATGGAGATCAATGGGTCGTACTCACTGATCTCTATATAAAGACTGGATAGCGGATATGCATACAACATTCACACAGAAGACTTTGCATATTGACCAATTCGTCCCCGGTCTCACGAAGATGGCCGCGTATAATACGAACGTTCTAGGCGTAAATACGCGCGCGTTGTATCAACAGTTGACGCGCATTTTGGTCACGTACACATTTGCGGTATTTTAGTAACCACGACGTTAAAAAAATTGTAGTTAACCTTGGTCAGTGGTGGTGGTCAAAATATAAGTCAAGTGAACCGCGACGTTACAAAAAAAATCGTGCTGTCTATAAAAACGGAAACTTGTCCTTTGTAGATCACCAGCCGGTCTCACCAATATGGAGTCAAATTCGTACATTGTGCGGCTCTTTATTAGCTATCCAGTCTTTATATAGGGATCAGTGGTCGTACTCCTGCCGTTCGGGCGCTCAGGAGTATACTCGTGTTAACGTACACGAGTAGCACGCTCGAACGCACCCAGAAAGTGTAGTGCAAGTGCAAACCATAGATGCAAACGAATGGAGTACGCGCGCGTGTTGGTTACGGGCTGAATCACGCGCTAATGTCTTTCACACACATTTTGTGCGCGTGACGTATTCACTTCGGTACTCCATCCGGTTTGTAAGTGTGACGTCATCTCAACTTAGCCATGATGGTGTAGCATGGCACCAATGGAACCGGAAGTTAACGCAACTTGAGTGATTATCCAATGGGCGCTCGTAATCAGTGGTGCGTGCGCGCGTATGACGAAGTCACTTACGAACCGGACAGACCGTGGCGAAAGCCACGGCTCATATTACATATGAACAGATTCGCTGATTAATTAGGCAAGACAACCGCATCTTGACCTCTAGACTTTGACCAATCAGCGGGCGATTTTTATGTCAGGACTTCGGTCAGTCACCTTTGTCGCATGGATAGGCATGGATAACAAATAAAACCGCTATACACACGGCAACAAAGGCTTTGGTCACGTTCTATTATGTACGCGCGCGGCTGTTGTTGCATTACAAAACACTGGATTCGAAATGACCAATCAAACCATTAGTCCTGAATTGGGAATGAAATGACGTCACAATTTAGTAAAGTTCAACTAAAACTTGTGGTCATTCAAGATCAAATTTAATTTGGTCTTGTATGACTACAACTTTTGGTTGAATTTAACATAAATTCTAACCCAAACAATTGGTTATCGAACAACCCAAGTTTGGGTAGTTCCAGTTTTCACCCTTTATTGGGTAAAATTAACCCAGGCAATTGTTCAGTGTATATGGCATCGTTTATGGCTGCTAACAAGCTCCTTCTGATTTAAAAAAGACATTGACAAATTGGGATACCGCCAACATTTGCTGGATAGCTCGGTAAAAACAGCACGTGGGAATATTTCCAAAACCACCTTCAACGTTTTCTCACTTCTAAATTATACATATTTCAGGCGAAACACTTTGCCACGTATGTTCATAGCCTACTACCTGTGATAGTATCTTAAAGGGAATATACAACATTTGCAAACATCGAAGAATAAAACTACCAAGTTTTTACGAAATACCTTACTAGGATGTTGGTAAATGATAGTCTCAAGCATTTTGTAAAATTATGGCACCTGATGTGAAGTCATTTTCAAGAAAATGGTATTTTTGTATACATTCCCTACGGTGGTCGGCCGACCAGCGTTGGAAAAACCTAACTATTTTTCAACTACTGCTCCAAATTAACCATTTTTTCAGTCCAAATTTTGTCTGCTATTGGTTACATGTTTCATGAACGGGTGCAGGCCAGCTAGACTGGTTCCCGTGCCTTACAATTTTCCATCATCTATAAATTGATCCATTTGATCTTTTGTGGAGTCAGGGAACCAGATTACTTAAACATTTTAGTTTTTCTTGGTTTTTCCAACCTTTTCGAACAAAACACTTCAAAAACGTCAGTGTAACAATATTTGATCTATATATACTAACCCCTCAAATAGTTCATTTCTGAAAATTACATCAAAAACCAATGATGTACATTCCCTTTAATTCACTTACGGGCTTTACTTGTTGCACATGCGCAGTGTGAGACATCCACTAGTCTTCGCATGTTGGCGACATTTTACCAACATACTCTGGCGCTACGGTGGCAAAAAATGTCCAAAATTTCTATTATATGAGTTTTCCCAAAGTTTTACCTCGTAAATATATACTCAAAATAAGTTTCTTATAAAACTCACAATATAATCAACCGGGCTCTATTTTTTTTAAAAGGAATATTCGAAAAAATCAAGCTCCGCCCCCAAATCGGCAGGTTTCAAGGTGTGTCCACCTCTTAAAATGACCATTTTGGATCTGCACACTGTATGTCATGCATGCTCTTATCACAAATTTGGGCACAGTGTGGGCAAAAATAATGGGGCCTAAGAAGCTCCACTACTGACCAGGATACATGTACACGGATACAGTATATATATGAAAGATATATAAATACAATCTTTAAATCATTCTTAAGTATCTTTATCCGACCTTTTTCTGTTCTTAAGTAGCATTTTTGGTATCAGGGGGTCAATCTCAAAACTTAAGTCCAAAAACGGCGCTTGTGCGCGACATGTTACTTAAACTCGAAATTTTGGACACTTGACCATGGTCCCCTGACCCCCATCCGACCTAGGGCAACTTAAGAATGGTCATTTCGGAACTACCCCCCCCCCCGAAAGGCAATCAATTGGTACCATCAAACCTTTTGTGCTCAAATTGTTAATTAAACAATAACCTAGCTCCCGGTTTAGGTCGGTATGGGTGATAATTACCCTCGGCTTCTCCTTGGGTAATTATCACCCATCCAGACTCCCACCGGTCTTAAACAGAGTGTTATAATACCTCCCGTACACACATTTATTCCCTTATTTAAAGTAGCACAAATCATATCAATTAACTCGGATTTCAAAAGGCAAAAAAAGTAAAAGCCATAAGGCGATGAATAAATGACATGAAATTCACAGTTCGTAATAAACATTGTCAACAAGTGCTTTCTGTTACTTACAAGTAGGATCCCCACTGTTTTTTTGTTCCCCGGATAGAAGGGTTTGTTGGGGTCCCAGAGGGATTTTTCGGTTTCTTCTGGACTATTGGGGTCTCCGGAGAGTGGACGCCTCTTGTGTTCTTCGGTTGCTAGAAAGGACAAATACCAGCCTGAAACAGAAAAAAAATGAAACACTTGCAAATGCAACAATATAATGTTGGAATATAATTACGAACAGGATTTTTTTCCCTTTTATAATGCAAGTCATAATCATGGCTGAAACACAATTTCATCTACAAAAGGGTATAATTATATACGGATGTCACAGATTCGACTATTGAAAGTATACTCAAACTTTTCGTCCAGCGGACATGTGAAAAAATTGTGCACTTTTTTTATATAAGCGTGAAACTTGGCACTGATGTTTATATTTATGCGAGAAAGTGTTTAAGGTGTGGAGCCATCGTAAATGTACGTTTTGGGGGGCGTGGCAGCCATTTAGAAAGGGGGGCACTCGTCATGCCCGCAGTGAAAACGGTTGTTCCAACTTGTCACAAAGGCAGGAAACTTCACAAAGACATAAATGTTTTGCAGATGTGGAGCCACCACAAAAGAACCTTTTTTAGGGGCGTGGCAGCCATTTACAAAAGGGTAAAAGTGTAAGGTTCACATACGAAAGAAGAAAGATTTTCATGAATATAATGTCTGTGTGAAGTAACTTGAAAAGTACATGAGTGATTTGAATGATTCTTATACTAAACGAAGGCTTATGAATTGGGCTTTTATATCCTAAATTTTGAAAGTGCCACATGCAGCACTTCACTAAAACAATAGTCCCGACATTTGGGTTTTGTTATTTTTTACTCACCCTGTATGCAAGAATGTGCTTGCTGGATGTTCGCTCGTACCCCCGCTTTAGCCCTGTAAACAGGGCGCTGGGACACGCTGATGAGCTTCACATAAGGCCAAAAAAAAAATATTCGGTCTCTGGTCAGACCAAAGTTCCGGAATTGACGCGGCCACGCGGCTTTTTTTTTTTTTTTTTTTTTTTTTTTTCTTCAAGCTTGGATTGTACAGACAAGGTGGGTACTATTTTGCCTTTTTGGTGTCCTCATGTACATTGGTGTCCTCCATAATTTGCCTTGGTGCTTTTGATCATTTGCCTTGGTGCAATTTCCCATTCCTTGGTGCTCTTTGGTAAAAAAAAATTGAGGAGGTGCGGGAAAATAGGGGGCTGTTGAAGCTACCGCGGAACATTTTGGAAAAAAAAAGATCGACGCGCATGATAAAAATCGACGCGCGCGCTGACCAGAGACCGAATTTTTTTTGGGGGGGCCTATTCTTGTGAAGGAAGTGGGGTGGTATTCTGGGTAATTTATCATGACCTATGTATAAAGCATCTAGCTGCAGCTGTTTAAGACCGCAGTTAGCCAATGCGTGCAAATGCTATCCGAAAACGTTCTCGTAGAAATGTACACAATCCATACCGGATGTGATTTCTTTTTCAATGCATGCCATGTGGACACATTTTAAGCGTCGCATTATATGCAATTGAATTGACCCTACGTGAATTCGAAACGGGGCCTGGGCAAGTGACGGGAATTAAGAATTTACAAAACAGATAAGTTTTACATTTTCGTACATTTTCCCTAAGCGCACTGATCTTGTTAAAAGCGCTATATAAGAACCTGCGTTATCATACATTTTCTACGAAAAAAAAGCATTCATGAATGGGAATAAAAGAGTAATTAATCAGTCTTAACGGCCGTTTGAAACCTTGCAGGGTCGTGGTCGTGATGACTTGCAGGTCACAGGTCACGCAAAATCTATCCAATCAGAGCGTGAATTCATCAGCGTGTCCCAGCGTACTGTTTACAGGGCGGGGGGGGGGGGGGGTACGAGCGACTGTTTACAGGGTGGGGGGTACGATCGTACCCCCCCCCCAGACATTTCATAACTGACTAAGACATTGGAACAGTGGTGAAATGCAATGACATTTTTTTTGTAAATGGAGTTATAGCCTGAATTTTGAACCAAGGAAAGTTAAGAATATTCCTAATAGAATGCGGAATTGTTGTGTGAGGTCTAAGGATTTTTTTTTATATAATTGTAATATGTAACCAGTCTGTACATAGCATCCTCTGTAGTTTAACATAAAACTTTTTACTGCAACGCCCTCGCTTGGTTGCTTAAATTGCTTCATCAAGCTTTCGCTCGTACGAGCGAAATTCCGCATTCAATTATTCCGCATTCTATTAGGAATATTCGTACCTTTCCTTGGTTCAAAATTCAGGCTATAACTCCATTAAAACAAGTGTCATTGCATTTCACCACGGTTCCAATGTCTTAGTCAGTCATGAAATGTCTAGACCATTTCAACGACTTTAAGGAGTATAAACGACTACCCAATGCGACATTATACATGGTAGGTACAAGCACCTCATTGGGTTCGAGGTTTCGCGAACGTTTGGGTGCGGACACCTCACGACAAATTAATACAAAATAAAGAAGTGAGCATTACCGTCATAGCAATGTATTGGATAGTTGCAGAGTAGTCCTCCATCTACGTAGTAGTCCTTTGTCGTCCCAAGCTTTTCCTTCACGGGACAAATATAACCTGAAAACAGAAACAAAATATAGGTTTTCCCGGCCAATTTCCTAAAATGTTCATTCACTTCTGAAAATCGGTCATTTTTCGTCTGAATTTGAGAATCGCTCTGAACACGCGTTTCATTTTTGCTACAAGAGCATTCGATTCCATTTCGGTTTAATCAATTAAGCGACTGAGCAGCACCTTTTGTTTATGCTCATTCAGATTCGTTTCCAAGAATTCCGTTTCACTTTTAGAGGGCGATTTCAAACATTCACCATTCTATTTCACTTTTAGTTTAATGTTATGTGATGCAGTCTGCTGTTTTGAATGAGAAAAACGTACTTTTGATTGCACATTCACGGAATTGTCTTCCAAACTTCTGCGCGAAAAGGTATGCTTGCGTAAATGAATGCACGGGTAACGTAATTGGCCGTCGTTTCTCAAAACTGAATGCATGGACAATGAAAACGATTGAACTTTCGTTGAAATGAAATGGGATTAAAGACGTGCATTCATAGCCAGACGAAAATGTATGACCGATTTTGAGAAGTGAATGAACATTTCAGGAAATTGGCTGGAAAACCTATATAATCGTTTGCTCCACGCTGCATGCGAGCATCAAAAGGCCAGTACAGAGTGGTCATTTTCCATTTATCGAGATCGAGATAATTGTCGTATGGCACGAACTACATGTTATCAAATAAAAGGAGTTCCAAGATGGCAGCTCGCTATGAACGAATCTTACTCTATCAGTGTCTATGGTTTACGGTGAGTCCGTTCCAGTTATTTCCCTAACATATAACATGGTGGCAGCGCTGGGTTTCTAATATACCCGCGGACATTTAGGGCATAGTATTCTAACGTCACTTGACTTTTTGGACACGTAACAAGGGCATTTTTACGTCGGAAAATTCACCGCACGAGTGACGGTTCAGAACAATGGCACAAACTCCACAACAGGGGGCGCACTCTCGCGCACCGCTGATCGGTCGCCTCGACAAATATGATGAGGTGGAAGATATCCGTAACTATGTTGAGCGGCTGAACTTGTATTTTCAAGCAAATGACATTGCTCAGGAGAAAAAGACAGCTGTTCTGTTAAGTGCAGTCGGTCCAACTGTGTATAAAACAGCTAAAAGTCTTGCAGAGCCAACCCCAGTAACTGAGAAAACATACACAGAACTGTGTGAGTTGTTGATCGCCCACTATGGACCCAAACGCCTGGTTGTGTCAGAGCGTTTTCGCTTCTACAAAAGGGATCAACAGCCATCAGAGACCATTGCACAGTATGCCATGACACTTCAAAACTTGGCCAGTACATGTAAATTTGGCCAGTTTCTCGACGATGCATTGCGAGACAGGCTTGTGTGTGGTCTGACCAGCAACAATATCCAGAAACATCTTCTCACCAAAGATGGTCTCACCTTCAAAGCAGCCGTGGACTTGGCCAAAACCCTTGAAACAGCTGTCAAGGACTTGCGTGAATTTAAGAACAGCCCTAATGCCGACACAGTATCAGTTCACGCACTACACCGAAACGCCAAGCAACCGTACAAGCAACCGTACAAGCCATCGTTCAAACAGCCACCCCCACAGACACGTGCCAAACCTCAACAAGGCGGGAAGAGATGCAGTAGATGTGGCAGAGATCCAAGCCACCAATCCTGTCCAGCAAGTGGACAAAAGTGTAACTACTGCCAGAAACTTGGTCACTTCTCGGTAGTGTGTCGCGCTAAACCGAAGAAGTTGCATACAGTACAGCACGATCCAACTGACAGCGATGATGGGGACACTGAAACTAATGATTTCTTCGTTGGAACAGTGCATCACACCAGCCATGACATACTAAATGGTGATGTGTGGAGACAACCTATCAAAGTGCAGGGACAGATGGTGCAGTTCCTGCTAGATACAGGTTCGGAAGTCAACATCCTACCCGCTAACGTGTACAAATCACTGAAACTCAGTGATAAGACATTGCAGCCAACGACACTTCGCTTGCATGGCTACTTTGGTGGCAAGGCCAAACCTCTTGGACAAAAGAAACTGTCATGTGAAATGAAGAATCGTCAGTACTCGTTGGTGTTCCAGATTCTTGCCAGTGGTCAGCCTGTCATTGGCAAGACAGCATGTGAAGCACTTGGTCTGATACAGCGGGTGTACACCATGGTGAACCGAGACAACGTGTTTGAAGGCACGGGTTGTCTTGAAGGCCCACCGGTTAACATAAAGTTAACCGACTCCGCTACTCCATACTGTGTGACCGCTCCTCGCAGAATCCCCTTGCCCCTACTTCCCCAGTTGAAGCAAGAACTGGAAAAGATGGAAACCCAAGGTATCGTGAAGCGCATCACTGAGCCGACAGAGTGGTGTGCTCCAATCGTGATTGTACCCAAGAAGAACAACCAGATTCGACTCTGTGTAGATCTGCGACAACTGAATAAAGCAGTGCAGAGGGAGCGTTTCACTATCCCCAGCCTGGAAGAGGTTTTGGGAAAGATTGTTGGTGCACAAGTGTTCTCCTTACTCGATGCAAAGCACGGGTTTTGGCAGATACCCCTTGCTAGTGACAGTCAGAAATTGACAACCTTCATAACTCCATTTGGGCGTTTCTGTTTTACGCGACTCCCTTTCGGCATCACATCAGCGCCTGAGTTGTATCAGCGTATTATGTGTGACCTACTCGTCAATCTGGATGGGGTAGTTGTCTACATGGATGATATTCTCATCACCGGCCGAACACAGGCAGAGCACGATCAACGTGTGCATCGTGTAGTCCAAATCCTACAGAAAGCTGGCTTGCGGCTAAACAAAGAGAAATCAAAGTTTTCTCAAGAGACGGTTACCTTTCTGGGTCTACAGCTAGACAAGGATGGTATACATGCTGATCCTTCGAAGATCACAGCAATCGTTCAGATGCCCCCACCAACATCAAAGGATGAAGTCAAGAGGCTCATGGGCATGGTCAATTGGTTGTCCCGCTTCATCCCGAACGCAGCATCAGTTGCAGCCCCAATCACTGATCTCCTGAAGGACAACGTTGACTGGATGTGGGGAGCACAACAGAAGATTGCATTCCGACACCTCAAGACACTCCTCACCAGATCACCCACATTGGCCTTCTATGACCCCGCTAAACCTACCATGGTCAGCGCAGATGCCAGTAGCTATGGGCTGGGAGGATGCTTACTACAGCAGCACGAAGATGAGACATGGAAGCCGGTCGCTTACTGTTCCCGTACCCTGACTCCTGCCGAGAGGAAGTATGCCCAAATCGAGAAAGAGTTGTTGGCCAGCGTATGGGCATGCGAGAGATTTTATGTCTACATCAGAGGACTTCACGTGACCCTACAAACCGACCACAAACCACTGGTGTCTTTGATCAATTCAAAGGACCTCTGTGACGCACCACTGAGATGCCAGCGCTTACTGATGCGCCTCATGAAATTCCACTGTACAGCTGTCTACTCACCAGGCAAGACCCTAGTCGTTGCAGATACCCTGTCTAGAGCTCCAGTTCATACAGACCAGACAGCTGATGACAGTGATGATCTCGCAGCAGAAATTGCAGCACACGTGAGCATGGTAACAAGCCAGTGGCCAGCCTCGGATGCCAAACTTGCAGAAATCACAGATGAGACAGTGCAAGACAACGTATTGTCCCTTGTATCGTCGTACGTGAAAGACGGCTGGCCGAAGTACATCAAGGACGTAGATCCTGATGTCAAGCGATACTGGGAGGAACAAGATAAGATAAGCCAGATCAACGGCATACTGACATATGGGGACCGCATCATCATCCCACAGAAGATGCAGCAGGAAATGCTGGAGAAACTCCATGAGGGTCACCATGGGGTCACCAAGAGCCGACTCCGTGCAAATCAAGCCATATGGTGGCCTGGAATCGGTACTGACATCGCGCAGCACATTCAACAATGCGAGTTTTGCAGAGAAAAGCAACCAGCACAGAAGGCGGAACCCCTGATGTCAACACCTTTACCCCAACGAGCATGGCAACGAATCGCGTGCGATCTTGCAGAGCTGAAAGGGAAGGTGTACTTAGTGATCGTTGACTACTACTCGAGGTGGATCGAGATTCATCACCTTGTGAAGACAACAGCCTTAGCAGTCATCAACTTCATGAAAACTACCTTTGCACGATATGGGATCCCTGAAGTTGTTGTATCAGATAACGGCCCACAATTCCTGGGAGAGTTTCAACAGTTTGCTAGAGAGTTTGGCTTCAACCACATCACCACCAGTCCACACTATCCCCAAGCAAATGGGCAAGCCGAAAAAGCTGTCCATGTGGCCAAGAGTATCCTGCGTCAACCAGATCCCATACGAGCTCTCATGACATACCGCGCGACCCCACTTCCAAGTCTTGGTGTCAGTCCGGCAAGTCTGATGATGGGCCGAGAGTTACGCACTACCCTACCAATGTTGCCCAAGAATCTCCTTCAGAAACCAATCAACCAGACAAAGTTGAAACAAGCAGACGCTGCATCCAAGTCCAAGGGAGAAGTCTACTTCAACCAGAAACATGGCGCCAAGGCATTGGATCAACTGGAAACAGGAGCCCGGGTGAAGATCAGAACAAAGGGCAAACTTGGTCCAGTCGGAGAGGTCCTCCGTAAAGCAGACACACCCCGTTCTTACATCGTGAGAGTGAATGGCGCAGAATATCGTCGGAACAGGCGGCATATTGTCCGGATGCCACAACCACCACCTGAGCCAGACTTCGAGATCCAACTGGAGGATCCAGTCCAACAAAACCCAGATGCTCAGCAACAAGGAGTGAGACAGTCTCAGCGAATGAGGAAACCACCAGCATGGCAGCAGGATTATGTCATGTACTAGAACACTGAACTGTCCTCACTCCATCACTCAATCACTCAATCACTCATTACTCGGTTAAAATCAATCAATCTTGCATTATCTCGCACTCATCTCTGAATTACAAATTCATTCTGATTTAATTCAAGAACTCTAGAAATCTGCTTGAACCAAGAACATTGGACTCT